TCCCAACATAGAAAAGGACGGGGGAAGTGGGTAGATCAAGTGATCTAGCCGCAGTGGCCCCGGTTGAAAACTGGTTGAAGCGCCTGACGCGGCCGCAGCAAAAAGCCAGTGACAAACTCAAAGACCAAGTAGTGAGGATCGAAGACGCCCTGACTTTCGATGACTTTCACAGGGTGGAAACCAGTGATGTTCCAGATATTTTACAAGGTGGTGCCCCCAAGATAGCTAAGTTGGTTTATAACTCTAATAACTATGGTTTATGGTACTTATAACTATACTTACTGGGGTTTATAAACCAACTTATAACTGGGGGGCACCACCTTGTAGGGATTCTTGTTAAGTGAATTCTCCAGCGTTTCAAATTGGATCCCTAAACAGTTCGCAGTAAAGATCAGCCACAAATTCTAGCCTGGAATATGTGTTCCACAGTACATCCATCTCGAGCATTCCAGTACATTCCGTACATTGAATATACAAGTTTCAAATTGGATCCCCAAAGATCCGTCTATTTGGCGGAACGATTTCCAGTACATGGATGGTTCATGTTGGAATCCCTGCCTTGAACTCCTTGCTTCCTGGAACCGAGTGGGATACTGCATCAAAGGGCTCCCCAAAAGTGGCGCATGTTGCAGAAATGGCTGGTTGGTGGTTTCAACCCCTGTGAAAAATATTAGTCAGTTGGGGTTACTATTCCCAATATATGGAAAAATAAAAAATGGTCCAAACCGCCAACCAGTTGTGATGATCTATATACAGTAAAAGGATTTTATGGTGCGCAATGCAATTGCTTGGTTAATCTCGGCCATAAACCCAACTGAACCAAATTCATAAGATACAAATGGATACAAATGGCACATTCAACAACCCCCACGGGACTTCTCATGATCAAAAACCGAATCTGCGGCATGACAGTTGCTGCAACATGATGTTCTTTGCATTACGTCTGAGTCTAAGATACTAGCAATCAATCAACATCACATAAACATGGTACTAGAATGTACTATATACATGTATATATATATATGTAGAGTATCTGGACATCGGTCCAAATCCAGCCCCCAGGTTTGATGGTTTTATCAATCTGAAAACGCAAGGGCGTTTTCCCAAGATCTCATGCTTGAGAATTCAAACATCGGCTTCATTCGGAATTGAGGTATCCACATGTATCCAGCAATTTGGGACGTGGACAGACTCATATCTGGGTATTGGTCCAGATATAAGCCCCAACAAGCTGCGTCATCTGTCTGATGCCAAAATGCGTTGAATCCATAGCATGAGTTCCTGACAATCTCTCCTTCCTCGTATCCTTGTATGTTCACAAATCACTCCTTGAATGGCTTGCCGACATTCTTCCCACATTTTTCAGTTGCCTTTATTGCAGTGGTTCTTACTATCCACAACCATGAATGGATGTTCATCCCTGGCTGAGAAGTGTAGGTTGATAAACCATAAAATGGTATGTCTGAAAATGAAGAAACAAAAGAACATGGTTTATCATAATTTCCACCACTAAAATGGCCATAGTTTGGTGTATATATATATATATATCGCTATATCGCTATATCGCCATCTCTGAGCAAACCCAGACATAGACCAGTAATATGCAGTGCTCTTCCGCATCGGAGGTACCCTTCAGGAATCAAACATGGCGGAATTTCCCAGCCACGTTTGATTACCAGAGGGTCACCCCCCAATGCTGACCGCCTTCCACTGCTGACACTGCCGACCGCCTTCCACTTTGTTGATGTAGGTACGTTTCGAGGCCAGGAGGCCACTCAAGACATTGGCCTCACGAGAATGGCGTCCCGTTGGGTCAGAACTACGCACCCATTTAGGAAATGATTACCGTTTACGCACCATCATTTACGGTGAGGTTGGCCGCTGGGGCCGTTTTACTGGATTTCTATGGATGTGAAAACCCCAGTGGAAAACCAACAATATTCCATACACATCCCACACTTGCATCATCCATAAACCCTTCATCATCATCATCATCATCATCATCATCATCATCATCATTCAACGTGTTTTAAAGTGGTTAAGCATCATAATCTCATGATAATTCCCTTTCTTTTTGCTAAAAGTCCACTAAAAATCTGTGGGAAACGTCCCCTGGCCTTCTCGCCCAGGCCGGCCG